TTTCAGTGCCTTAGCAAGTTCCTGCCATCAGGGCATAAGTGATATTCAGAAGCAATGGGAAACATTTAGGACATCTAAAGAATTAAATCTACCTAAAAATGTGTTTTCAACAACTGCTGTAAAAGTCAGAGATTAAGTGCTATGTGATGAGACCCCGGTGGCACAGTGGGTTAAAGTGCTGAGCTGCTGAACTTGTTGACCAAAAGGTCGCAGGTTTGAATCCGGGGAGCAGCATGAGCTCCTGCTGTTAGCTCCAGCTTCTGCCAACCTAGCAGTTCGAAAACATGCAAATGTGAGTAGATCAATAGATACCACTCCAGTAGGAAGGTAACGAGGCTTCATGCAGTTATGAGGCTTCCACGTGATCTTGGAAGTGTCTACGGACAATGTCGGTTCTTCAACTTAGAAATGGAGATGAGCACCAATCCCCTGAGTCGGACATGACTGGACTTAATGTCAGGGGAAAACCTTTACTTAAGTGCTATGTGAGAAATATTTAATTTTGACATCTGCCTATAAAGCCTACACATAATGGCTAGTATCCAATGTTTCCATGGCATCCCAGAGGGTGCAGCTACACAGCAGAATGAATTTAGCTTGACACCATTTTAACTGCCCCTGCTTCATGCTAGGAAATCTTGGGATTTGTAATTTGACATCAGTACTCTTGGTAAAGAAGGCTTTTCCTTGCAAAAGTACACCTCCATGGCTGCATAGCATTGAGCCATGGCAATTGAAGTGGTGGCAAACTATATTAATGGTGGCAAACTATATTAATTTTGTAGTGTAAATGCATTATTGATTATTGCATTCCAGAGCTTTTCTATGAATGCAAAAAAGAGTCCTCCCTCTCTCCTGGAGTTTTGTGTTCACTAAAAATATTTTAGAACCTATGCCAGAAGTCAGGGAAAATGAGAAGGTTGACACGATTAGTATAGAAATCCTCATCAGCTTCCCATGAACATAAGCTAAAGAAAATGAACAGGTATCTCTGAGAGCTGAATAATAATAATAATAATAACTTTATTCTTATTACACCCCGCCATTATCTCCCCGAAGGGGCTTGGGGTGCCTTACATCTGGGTCAAAATGCCCTCAAGACATAAAAGCAAAATAATCAATGAAAACAAAAACACAATTAAAATAGAGCATAGTAAAATATAACAGTCCAGATTAAAACACAATGAAAAAAAAATAAGAATATAAAACAGCATAGTTGAAACTCAAAACAATGCTCAACAAACCCAAAACCAGTAATACAGTGGACATGACCAGTCTATAGAAAGTGCTGGGCATGGGATAGTTCAAAATAGCACGCCATAGGGCTGGGGTATTGGATGAAGTGTAGAGAACTAAATATTATCAGGCGACCTAGGGACTGGGCATTTATAACCAGGGACTAGTTGAATTATGCTAATTGAATTTTGGCTACTAGGCATGCAATGTGTTGTAATGGAACAAACATTTTTGAACCACTCTGAGTGGCAGTCCTCTCTGGGTTCTTCAAAGAGCTCTTGGTTGCCCACATAATTGTATAGCTCTCTGAAGTAGGAACACCTACAGGATTTATGGCACAGATTGAGAGACAAATATGCTCCAATTATTGGTGAATTATTAATTTACAGTAAATTATTAATTCTATATTTAAATATTTAGATATAGCGCTTCCTCTTAAGAAATGCTGGTGAGCATTAATATAGATACTTGTTTTTGAGCTCACACTCGATTTCATGCTGACTTGTTTTTAGTAAACACATCTTCTTGTCCAGTTCTAATTAATAATTCATGATTGTTTGTCTTTGTCTTTTGAAATAATTTATATGTTGTACCTGGTAATCAACTACATTGCATCTTCTGCGTTTGGAAACAACTTTTATGCTTACATGGCTTTATAATATTACATTGCATTAGTTCAACCCATTGGTATTTTTTGATTAAAAACAGAACGGCTTGACATTGCAGTAGCTCCAGTTTTATTGCATAATGATAATAATAAAATGATAACAAAATGCAAAAAGTAAACAGGTTTTATATATATAGATGTGTGTGTGTGTGTGTGTGTGCGCGCGTGCTTGTATGTTTGGTTTTACATATATATATACAATGCAGAATTAAATATAAGTATGGGTTGAGCATACCTTTTCCAGAATTCCAAAATCTAAAATAGTCCAAAATCCAAAATGTTCAACACTGGGGCTGAGATAGTGGTGCCTTTGCTTACTGATGGTTCTTAGATGCTTGGATGATCCATTCCTCAACTTTTGCATGGATCACAATATCTTCTGCATTTGCCTCTATTCGTATCTATTTTGATTATGAGTTGACCAGTGTACCATTGTATGGTCATGTTTGTCTCTCACATTATACACCATATGAAATTAATCAGACCATTGGGTGGGAGGATGATCATTGGGTGGGAGGTCTTGTCCATCTTCACGGGTACTATGTTGCTGTGGCATTAATCTAGCACTCTGACTGTGCAGTCCGCACCCCAAATAGAAGGTCTGAGAAAAAACCAAAAAAATGAGGGGGGGGGGGGGAAGACAGGGTTCTTTTTTTGTTTCTTCCCCAATGTTTATGTTTTTTTCCCTTCTCTACCTAAAACATTGTACTGCTTGATGTGAAATGAAACTTTTAGTAAAATGTTTGCCCAAACAATAGCCGATGCTACCTGTTTCAAGACATACAATATTCTAATAATCTATATGGACAAGCTGCAGTTGTGGATTTTAATTTGAGTGTCTTGACCTTTGAAAATGAATGCATCAATTTTCCCTTTTGTTGTCTTTAGTGGATATGTTCTGAAATAACAGAAGCTGGATATAAATAGCTTTGCTTTGTGAATGCAATCAAAAAATGATCAGAATCATCAACAAATAGAGAACATGCAAATTACATGACCTTTTGATTGAAAGGATATTTATCAGCTGAACCCCATTTCCTAAGAAGAAAAATTAACTAGTTGATTGTGATAAAATGATGGTTAGAGTAGATCCACTGAAATAAATTGATCTCCTTTAAATTTAAATCTGTATCCACTCTGAAGATTGTATTCGTTTCCTTACTGTTTATTGACACTATGAAATAGTCTATATCTGTATAACATTCTTCTGACATCAACTGATCAACTTGATCACTAAATTTAAAAACACTGAGGACACTGGATCCAGTATAAAATACATTTAGCATCATAGCCAATGTGACATTCAGAACTTGGAAGCTTATCTTATAAACTGACGTATAAATCTAGAAATGTTAATTTAAAAAAACCAAAAACATGGGCGGACTTATCCAGGGATCAATGTCAATAGTTTAGTTTAGTTGAACTATCACCTTCTCTGGGTAGAGTGATGAAAGGCAAGAACCCCAAAGGGACCACTGGCCTCCTCTGCTCCCACCATATCTCTTCTTCTGGCCTTCTTGAATGCCTGACTGGGGAAAATGGCAGAGGTGGCCAAGGGAGCATTGGTGCTTTCCCCTCTGTAATGACCCTTGAATTACCCAAGGGTCATATCAAAATCCATACCTTTGGGCCTTCACACTGCCCTTGACTTATTCATAGGTCAGCTTATATATGAAAATATACAGTATCGTGTTTCATTTTACATAATTTGGTGGCGTGGCTTGCTCTTTAAAGATTTATTTGGAGACAGAAATGAAGAAAAAAAATCTTCCATATGATTCCCCCAATTGAATTTGTTTTATGAGTTATTTGCTCATTGTTCATTGTCCTTTTTAAAAAGTAACTCGGTGAGCAGCCATTTTGTAAAAACAAAAAAACAAAAAACCTCTAATAATTTCCCCATGGAGTAATAAAAAAAATCTGAAAATGTCATAATTATAAGCAAGCATTAAATAAGCAAATAATACATAGTTACATTCCTACCATGACATGGATTGAAAGAGCATGGAGATGGACAGCAATACAGTGTAATTTATGACACATTTTCCATGTGAGTGTCTTGATCTTGTTTAAAGTAGAATTTTCTAACAGAGCACTAAAACGAAATGTCATCAGAAGAGGAAGAGAGGAACTCTAAGTCTTTGTTATTCAGTGTGTCTCTATGAATGCTCCCTGAGGAACTCTGGAAATGAAGGATGGTGGCAGCGGGCAGAACTTCAGTTCTTCTCTCATACCACCAAAGCTGACATTTTATGAACTGTTAAAGAGAGAGAGAGAGAGAGAGAGAGAGAGAGAGAGAGAGAGAGAGAGAGAGGAGAGAGAAGAAAGAGAGACAGAAAGAAAGACCTATTGCTACCAGGGCAGGTATCTGTCCCTCCCAATGGAACAGAGCACAAAAATTGCTGCTTCAAAGGTCTTCGCTCATGAATGGGATGTTGAAATGACAGTGGCCATGTTGCTTTTCTGACTTGGTATTTTCTATTCAGAGGAAAATGGAAGTATTTCCAACAATCCTGACTGTGAGAGCCGTTCAGCAGTGGAACTCTCTGCCCCGGAGTGTGGTGGAGGCTCCTTCTTTGGAAGCTTTTAAACAGAGGCTGGATGGCCATCTGTCAGGGGTGCTTTGAATGCAATATTCCTGTTTCTTGGCAGGGGGTTGGACTGGATGGCTCACGAGGTCTCTTCCAACTCTGATTCTATGATTCTAACCCTCTTTCTCCCTTGCACACACATACAGGCAACCCTTCCAATCGATGGATTCTGCATCCACAGATTTTAACATCCATGACTTGAAAATATTCTTATCTCCCCACCACACAATAAAAAAATCCCAAAAGCAAATCCTGATATTGCCACTTTATATAAGGAACTCCATTTTGTGAGGCCATTTTATATAATGGGACGTGAGCAGTCACAAATTTGTTATCCATGGGGTGATCATTACGGTGGTCCTGGAACCAAACTGGAGTAGGTCCCAAGGCCAATTAACACCTGGAGTCATCTCAGGCACATGTATACTATCTCTGTAAGATGTAGATAGAAGATATAAATTTAATTTCAACAACTTCTAAACAGCTTATTATTCTGTTTGCTCTAGGTAATGGAAATGTATCTTCCATTTTGTGGTATTGCCATCTCCAACGCTCAGCTGTTTGCTGCTTCCAGAAAGGAATATGATAGAAGCAGGGTAAGTCGGAGTAGCAACTTGATCCAATACAACTTATTTTTATTTAATACAGCAACTCTGATACCTGGATATTTTTTATTAACAATGACATGTTTTACTTCTTCTTCTTCTTCTTCTTCTTCTTCTTCTTATTATTATTATTATTATACTTTTTATTCCTTGCTTGCCTCTCCTCATAGCTCAAGGCGGGTTACAACATTGCTAAAACACACATTAATCTAAAAACATTCTTTAAAACACACATATTAAAACGTATTTCCACAAAATACATATTAAAATACAAAAATCAAAGATTAAACTTAGGCTGGAAATTTAAAATTCATCATATCTACTCATAAAATTAATCATATGTACTCATAAACTTCATTACGTTCTGTGCGGTTTATGTTCAGGTAAAGTCTCTTACTCAGCCTCAGACTTACTAGGAATAAGATCCATGAACACAGTTCAAACAATTCTGAATAAAGATAAATTACATATATATTTTATTGTTCCAGTCTTCATACTTTCATTTTACACACCAGGGCTGATTGTAACTTGCGGTTACCTTTCCTTTTAACTTGTTGATATTTTACTCCATATTTTCAGTAGTCATTCCTTTCAACTAATTTTACTGTGCCAAGAGTTAAATGGCAAGCTTTTACAACATGTAATTTGTCAGAACACGTTGCACAGCCACTGAAAAGTGTTTTCCTGTGTTCTGTAGGGCTTGACTGGTAGAAATAATATTTCTGGCATTCATTTGTTGGCATCTCAGCTGTTTTGATCCTCCCTCCATATGGGTGACATTTGCCAGCACAGTGGGAGAAGGGGGAAATAAAGGAACTGATACACATTTTTGGTTAGCAACAGGAGACAACTGTATCACAACTTCATACATCCACAATTTTGGCACGAGAGAGGAGAAAACACTGAGAAAGAACCAAGAGAACGTATTGGGAGAATCTGTGAAGAAGGATGTGTTAGGCGAAATCTTCTTGCAGATAGGATCACTCCAATTCATCTGAGATGTGCAGCTGTACCCTGTTCTAGCTAGTGGTGTGCTTAAGGAGCGGAGACTTGTGAGTCACAAGGAGTAAGTGTGTGGGATCCTTGTTTATAAAGTAGGAGCTATAAATCCCCAGGTCATTGACTGAACACAAAAAAGCATCAATTGAAATAGAAAAAAACCCTGTAATAAGCAAAACATACAATAAAATGCTACTGGAAGGAAAGTGAACAAAGCAAACAAACATACCCTAAACTCTAGTGAGCAATCAGTTTATTTCCTACTCACATGGCTGGCTCAACATGATTTGCTTCCTGAGGCCAAGATGATAACCCACTACAACACCCACCCACATTCATTCCACAAACAGAAACTGATCTTACTTCAGTTTTGACCATCCTAAGCACATCTGAAGCAAGCAGACTGCCAAGGGGACTAGGGAAAGCTGTTTGTTATGCAAAGAATTCTCCAATACCTAGCCACTAGTGCTAACTATCCACTGCTCCCAGTTTTCCAGGATCTGTTGTCAGAGACAACTGAGAGCCTTATTCTGTCAAATAGTAAAGTTATCCCTCTTTCATGGACTTGCAACCAGCAATTGTCTGTACTAAGAAACAGAACCAGTAATGTATATGGGTGGAGTGTGCATCTCTGGGGCAAAAGAGGATGCAGATCTACCTTTGCATTCTCCTATATCCTGAGTAGACTAGAAGCAGGCAGTCTGATATGCTAAATTGTGACATCACTGTAATATTTAAAGGTATAAAACAATAGATCACATCAATGTTTGGTGTCTCTCCAACAAATTTGGGTTGACACCACTAATTATTATGGTTCAATGCTGTGGAATCCTGGGAGTTGTAGTTTTACAAAGTCTTCATCCTTCTCAGCCAAAGAGTGCTGGTCCTTCACCAAACTACAATTTTCAGGATTCCATAGCATTGAGCTACAGCAATTAAAGTGGTATCAAACTGCATTAATTATATGGTGTATGTGTAACCTATGTTGACTGCTACTGAGAATGGTTTTTTTACTTAATCTCTGACTGAAAATTAATATGGAATTGAATCAATACAATTATGTTTCAAATAGTATGGAGTCATCCTGGTCCTAGTGAAAAAAAGAGAAATACCTCTTCAAGAAAATTCCAAGTATAATTCTTATGAATTCTAAGAGATAGCTGTCCTTTGCTATATATGCACCTAAATTTACTTATAAGGAGGAAAACAAGTTAACATAGAGTCAGTTACTGGTTTGTTTTATAACATTTGTTATAAAACAAATGTTATAAATTTGTTTTATGTTTTATAACATGTTTTATAACATTTGTTTACAGAAGTTGCAGAATAAGTTGCAGAATAATGTATTCATTACCTTTTGAAGCAGACCATCATAGCTTTCAATTCCATGTGTACAGGCCTTGTTGGAGGTGGTTAATGATCTCTTCGAAGAACAGACAGACTTAGAGAAAATTGTGAAGAAAATTATGCATCGAGCACAGACTCTGTTAAAGTGTGAGCGCTGCTCAGTATTGCTTCTTGAAGACATTGAATCACCAGTAAGTAGTAGCTCAGATTTTGGAAAAGGTAAATATATTTACTTGTGGCATGTGGTTTATTTTCTTGAGGAAATATTTTGTGCACTGTCATGGATACTACTTTGTGAATGCCCTTGAGCAGCAGTTAAGTAGAACAATGCATATATTTCTGCTTCTTGAATTATTTTTAGTAATTGTAATTGCAAGTCCAGCTCAGTTGCTACCACTACAATACTGTCAGTAATTTTTGAAGGCCAGGTGTGTGATGTTGGGCATCAACCTGCTTGAACTACCTTCGGACACCAGGTATTTCTGAGGAACAGGCAAGGAAGGACTGCTACTCAAAGGTGTACACAAAGCTTTTCCATGCAGTAAAGGGGTGTGGGGGTGATAAGAAGAGGTTGCCCTGTTCACTCTGTGTGGCTAAGGCTGGATCTACACTGACACATAATCCAGTTTCTGAATCCAGACTATCTGCTTAAAACTGATTTATTTATGACATTTATAGAATTATATGAGTCTACTGAAGTGTAGACTTTATGTCTTAAAGTTTTATGATATTTGTTTTAATTGTTTTATTATTTATATATTGTATTGTTGTATATGTTGATTTGCAGCATCAAAATGTGCCAAATTATGTAAGCCGCTCTGAGACCCTTTTGGGGTGAGAAAAGCGGGATATAAATATAGTAAATAAATAAGTAAATAAATAAGTCTTTTCAGGCATCTTTGCCCTTTAGATGCCTTCCTCCCATTTGAAGTTTTATTAACATATTTAACTGTATGGAGAAATCTCATTTTAAGCTGTGGTTGCTTCTTGAAGGCGTTCTGGCTTTCTAGAAGCTAGAGTAGGAACCCAACTCATTAAGTTCTTGTCTTTGGAATACATGTGATGGACAACAGAGAGTTTGTTCAGATTAACTAAGAATAAAGTTTTGGGGAAGGGCAGGAAGTGAATGGTAGAGACATATCCTCTGACATCCAAGACAGCTCCTATGAAGCAGTCCAGATAATCCTGTAAATAGGTTTGGGTGGGTGGACTCAGTTCTTCCAAGTGATCTCTCAAGCATTTCTCCTTCTCTGGGAATCTAGTTGTGGGCAGAAGCTTTTGGAAAAGGTTGAACTGGTTGTCTATGTTTCACCTGGCAGACTTCTTATTTTCATATGGGTAAGTGCTGCAACCCCTGAAAAGGCTCAGAAATGGTGTGTGTGCACACAACCCTAAATGGCTCCTTGTAGCTTTGGGAAGACAGTAAAGAAGATACAGTCAGCCCTCTGTATCCACAGATTCAACCATTCAAAGATTTAAAACTTTTTTAAAATTCCCAAAAAGCAAATCTTAATTTTGTGATGTTACATAAGGAACACCATTTTACCATGCCACTGTATGTAACAGGACTTGAGCATCTGTGGATTTTGGGATATGGGGGTAGGTTGGGGTTCTCCTGGAAGCAAACCATAGCAGATACCACAGGACCACTATAAAGCTGATTGTTAAGGCAAGCTGGTACTTGTAGGCATAATAAGAAACTAATGCTTCTACAAGATAGCTATATCCTTATTCTTTCTTGAAATGTGATTCAACTAAAGATTGTGTGAGCAGAAAGGACAGAAGTACTGTACAACAAAACAGAAAGTACACATTGCTTGACAATATGGGATTAAAGCAAGGGTTTATTCTAGAGTGCAGCTGTTCCTTTGCTTTTATTTATAATTTTAAGTCACCAGAGGGAAAGAATGACCTAATAACTTAATTTCACACAGTTTTTTATGTGGTGATAAGGTCACTACAAGTTGTCACTTCTTGCTTTGTAGTAGCAGCAAGACCTTTCAAGGAATAAAATGACCCAATGGTTTGTTGCAAATTATTGAAAATAAATGTGTCATTCTTGAGGTTATGCAGTGCAAGGGACTATCCATACTGATCTATCAGGTGAATTTTTCAAACAGGCATCAAGATTTTATGACTTCACTTTGTTAGGGTTGCCACCTTTAAATCAGTTTATCCTTGGATGGGGTTTCTGCTCCCATGGGCTACTCTAGAAACTTCAGTGTAAGTGACAATATGACTTGCAGAAGGGCATGTGTGAACAGAGCTATCTTCTCCGGAGGACTAGCTCTGACAATTCTGGCAACTTCACATTAAATTTTCCGTTTTGTAGTGCTGACCACTACTCTGCCTGTGGCAGAAGTATCCATGTTCAAAGTCGTGCACAGGCAAAGATAACTCTTTCCCTGTGCACGATAACTCTTGGCCTGTGCAGGCTTTTCTCTGGCACTTGCAGGCAACACTGGATGTCCCCTTTCCTCCTTTTCACTTCTTCTGATTATTTTCTGTATTTGCGCGTAGATTACACAGTAGTAGGGTTTGACATTTGAGTAGGTTGCATTTTTCTTACCTCCTGAGCCTGCTCTTACTGTTTCATCAGATATTTGGTTCAAATTAATGATAACAATTCAAAATGTTGACAGGCCAATTTTCAAAAAAGAAATGCTTTGTATTGATAGTGAAGACTAAAGGGAGTTCTTGCAACAGGTTTTTTTTAAGTATAAAGGAGTTTTTTAAATGAGCCTATTGTTGCATAATCACCCTGCTTCATTTACAGAACTTTATGGAGGAGAAGTGGGTGGTGCAATGGGTTAAACCCTTGTGCTGGTAGGACTGAAGACATACAGGTCGCAGGTTTGAATCCAGGAGTGTTTGGATGAGCTCCCTCTGTCAGCTCCAGCTCCCCATGCAGAGACATGAGAGAAGCCTCCCATAAGGATGATAAAGTATCAAAACTTTCAGGTGTCCCCTGGGCAATGTCCTTGTGGATGGCAAATTCTCTCACACCAGAAGCGACTTGCAGTTTCTCAAGTTGCTCCTGACATGAAATAAATAAATAAATGGGGGGAGGGTTACATTTGGATGTTGCTGTTCTTCTTAAGGGTTACAGTGATTAAATGTAGACATTGTAAACATGGCCACTTAATCATGATATACACCAATGTAGGAAGCTTTGAATTACAGTCGCGGCTTGAATTCTGCTACCTCTGGCAGCCTCTGTTGTGAAATTATCAGCATATATCATTTATTTATTTGTTTGGATTTATGAGACCCAAGGTGACCATTTAGAGACTTATGGAACAGATGAGTTGTGAAAAGGAGTTTCACGCAGTCCCATTTCTCTCTATTACTGAGGCCTGTAAAAGCACATTTGGGCATTGGATGTTCAAGTGGGCAGAGAGGCAGTTCTGAAGGCAAAACAGAAAATTTTAGTTTTTGTTTATCCTTCTGATAGTAACAGTAGCTACAACTGCTTCCCCATGATTCACATGGTGCCAGCTTTTCTGTAGAGACTGTGCTATTTTCTTCAACTGAGTATGTCATGTAAGATTGACTACTGCTCTGAATCCGCGTGTCAGTTCCTCTCTTGTGTTATGACACTTGGAAAACACTAGCATTTGGAAGGAACCCTCATTGCTGGAAATGGCGGAAGAACAGAGATGGGTTGCTGCAGCTGGTGTAAAACTAGATAGCAAGCTTTCTCATACTGCAGTGGTTCCCAACCTTTAGGGCTCCAGATGTTTTGGACTTCAACTCTCAGAAATCCCAGCCAGCTACCAGCTGTTAAGAACTGTGGGAAATAAAGTCCAAAACACCTGGAGGTCCAAAGCTTGGGAACCACTACCTTAATGCCATGGGTGGAAATTTCTGCAGCCCTTCAGATGTTCTTGGACTGCAGTTCCCATCATCCCTAACCAGAAGACGAGGAATGCTGGGAGCTGCTGACAAACAATGGCTAGAGAATAATTTTCATTTCTTCATCCAGTCTTTACATTGACCAATGCTGTTATGATGAGACATACATTCAATTTTCTCTGTCTCTCCGTGTGTGCGTTTAATGATATGATTCTCTTTATTAAAAAAAGGAAAAGAAAAGAGCTGACCCTGTCTTTAAGGAATGGATGTGAGTGCTAAGCTGTTGATTAGATTCCTAATAGCTTTCTGTGGTATCTTCAGTACAGTTTGGAACGATTAACATTAGCTGATGTCATTCCGATTATAAAAGAAGACGTGCTGCTTGCCTTCTAGTCTGACCAATGCCAGGAACTGATTGTAATGTTTGCCTGTGGCTGGTTTAATGTCTAATTATCTTCCTGAGGTGTTAGAGCAAACCGGCAGTGGGAAATTTATGATTTCTTATAAAGGTTTCTGATTTCATGCAGTGTTATTTTGCATGTCTTTATTCCGTTTCTTCATTGGTAACATCATTGAGATGATGCAATTCTTTAAAACTTCTTTCTTTACTCTTTTGAGCAAAGGCAGGGAGCATTATATGTATATTATACTCATGATACCATTACACTTTAACATATGATGTTCTATTTCTACTGACTCACATCTAAATCAGCATTGTCTATTCCACACTAAGTTAGTTTTCTAACTTACATTTAGTTTTGTAACTTACATTGTTGGAGGCTACAGACGGGCCATTGCTGCTGCCCATTTTTGGTCTGTGCTCCTTCTATTTTTATCAGTTTTATGCTAATTTATGCAATGCTTTTGATACGAAATAAATAAATAAAATGTACATTTAGCCAGGCATACATCTTAAAAATGCTTTTAAAATGTTTTCATCATGTATGTGTGTGCAGATATTTCTTCTTTTAAGTCTCACTTCAGATCATAAAGCAGGCTAGCTCTAGATCCTGACCAGGGGCCCTTCCACATAGCCATATAACCTAGAATATCAAGGCAGAAAATCCTACAATATCTGCTTATCTGAGTCCACACTGCCATATATTCTAGTTCAAAGTAGATAATGTGGAGATTTATTCAGCTGTGTGGAAGGGGCCAAGGCGTGTAGAAGGGAAATGCAGAAAACCATATTTCCTTCCTCTCTACTCTCCTCTCAGGTGGTTTAGATTTTTGAAAAAGGGTTCACATGTATACTATAGCCTTCCTTTGATACTGAGAGTCTGTGGCTTTCTCATTTCTGTGGCTAAGCAGGAATTTGAACCCCAGTCTTCCAGAATCCTAGTCCAGCACTCAAGTCACTATACTATGCTGGCTCTCAGATCAAACTTGCTGAAGCTAAATGTGTTTGGGCTTGGGTAGCGTTTCTCAAACTGTGCTCCAGACGTTTCGGACTTCTGCTTCCTCAATTCCTAACAGCTGGTAAACTGGTTGGGATTTCTGGGAGCTGAAGTTCAAAATACCTAGAGAAGCATTATTCAAGAAACACTGGGATGGAGGGTTGATAAACAAACCTGTACACTATCGTGACCTCCATGGTGGAAGAAAGAAAGGATATGAAAATAACAAACTATCTATCTATATAAAAATGCTCTGTGCATAATGAGTACCTTAAAAACAAAAGAACCAATGAACAAAATCACACCAAATTTGGCAACAAAATGTCTCACAACACAAGGAGTAACCATAACTAAAAAAAATATGATTTTGTCATTTGGGAGTTGTAGCTGCTGGGATTTATAGTTCACCTAAAATCAAAGAGCATTCTGAACTCCATCAACGATGGAATTGAACCAAACTTGGCACACAGGACCTATGACCAACAGAAAATATTGGAAGGGTTTGGTGGGCATTGACCTTGAGTTTGGGAGTTGTAGTTCACCTACATCCAGAGAGCACTGTGGACTCAAACAATGATGGATCTGCACCAAACTTGGCACAAGTACTCAATATGCCCAAATATGAACACAGATGGAGTTTGGGGAAATAGACCTTGACATTTGGGAGTTGTAGTTACTGGGATTTACAGTTCACCTACAATCAAAGAGCATTCTGAACCCCACGAAGACAAAATCGGGGCAAACTTCCCACACAGAACCCCCATGACCAACAGAAAATACTTAAGGCCATACAGTCCAACTCCCTTCATCAGGGCAAGAAAACGTAACCAAAGTCCTCCTGACAAAGAGCCATCCAGCTATAGAGATAGATAGATAGATAGATAGATAGATAGATAGATAGATAGATAGATAGATATGATTCACACGGACAGAGAGATATAGTATCATAGATTTGAAAGGGACCCTTAAAGAAGGACAATGATATGTTGCATGTTCCAGGGTGGGCAAACCAGATACTCTCCACATCAACACTGACAAAGAAACAGCAAGAAATGCTGTTTACCCACAAGCATAAAGAAACCAACACTTTCTCATTACTTTATTTTCCAGATCAACAGACTGGGCCACAGCAACGCGTGGCAGGGGACAGCTAGTATATAAAAAAGAACATGCATGTATTTTAAAATTAGCTTAGATGGGGGTAAGAATCACCTTGGGGTGCATCTATGCTGTAGAATGAATACACTTTAACCGCCCTGGTTCAATGCTAAGGAATCATGGGGCTGTTGTTTTACAAGGTCTTGAGCCTCACCAAACTACAAATCCTAGGATCGCACAACATTCAGCCATGGCAATTAAATTAAAGGTGACATCCCTCACCGGTGCTCCAGATGCAGCTCCTTGAAGCAGCTTCCCTTTTTTACTTTGGCTCAGCACTAAGATTCTCATATTATGCAAATCTAATGCGCGCCCTAATTTTGGCAAGGCAGTTTACCCAAAAGGTGAGCATTCGATTCGAGTAAATATGGTTTACCCTTAGCATGGTTTTCTATTGTACGGAAACTAATGAAATCCTTTTTTTTATCTTGACAGGTGGTGAAATTTACCAAATCCTTTGAGCTGATGTCTCCAAAATGCAGTGCAGATGCAGATAATAGGTTAGATTACACATTGCACTTTTAATATTACAACAAAGCATGTTTATATGACTGATCATTAATGGATGGTTAAATGATTGTTGAAATTCAAGTTATTTCTGACTTACAGCAACTCTAAGGAAAACCTGTCATGAAGGTTTCTTGACAAGGCTTGTTAGAGACAGATTGCCTTTGCCTTTTTCTGAGACTAAAATTGTGACTAGCCCAGGATCACCCTGTGGATTTTGATGCCCAACTTGGAATGCACACCCTTGTCCACAAGTATGCTAGGCACCATCTACATTGACCATTTAAGGCAGTTGGAAGCTACCTTCAAACTGTGGTGGCCAGGCAACAAACCCCCATAAAAGCATGCGAAAGATAGCCCTTATGTGCACCAGTGCTCTATGGTTTGTGTAATCACCATCTGGGTCTCAAACTGGTTACAGGATTTCCTACGTAATCGTCTGCACAGCAAAATCCCTTTCTTCAAAATCAGTTTCAACCCGCATTAAATGGACTTCCACTCAAACCACTACATTGGTTTTGATTACCCACCAGTGAAATATTGAGACCACACCAGGGATGTGAGGCCACCTGTGGAAGCTGAGAAAGCTAAAGATCCTGTAAAATTTCAACTCCCATGATTCCATAGCATTGGGTCATGGCAGCAAAACTGGTGACAAACTGCATTCATTTTAAAGAGTAGGTGCACCCTGTATGAAGCTCTGGGGAATCCCCTAAAAATCTGGGCAGTATAATTTCCACCAAAGTTTCAAAAAGCTCTTCAAAGAAGTCTTCACAGTACCACATATTGCCGCCGAAGCAGGAGTGCAACTGGTGCCCCATTTTCAGTTGCTACTAGTGCCACTTGGGCATCCACACTGAAATCTGGCAGCATGTCCAAGCTGAGAACCTCATTCATAAGGATAAATGTAATTCCACCCATAAACACTTGGTCTCTTTGTTGAAAAGGGTCCACTTACTAACAGCAGCAGTAGGACATTGTTTTGTTAGACGTGTTAGACTATTTTTAGAACTTCCACTTTCATGATTGGTTAGTTTGTCAACTTGGATTTATTTAGCTGCTCCCAATACTTGTCACATATAATCAAGTGTTGATATAATCAGTCACTCATAATAATGCCTAGATCTTAATCGGGGCTGTGCACTTTGAATCTCTGCTTGCTTCATGATGGATTTGGCAAGATACACAATTGTGAGTGTGCTGCATCAATAAGTGGAATCTTGCCCTCAAAGCTTCTGTATATGAAGTTTTAGCAATAAATCTTTAAATATTTAACCACATCTTGCATTTCAAAAGTTGTATATCTTTTTACATTTAGTCTGTAAGTAGCTAACAAAACCCATACTCTATAACACTGTTTTTTTATCATTCAGAACAACTTGAATGATATTTTTTAGACTTCCTGCTGGTTTAAAAGAAGTGAAAAATGTTTGAAATGTTCTGTGCAATCCTTAACACGTCTGCTTAGATATAAGCCCCATTGACTTCAATGGCACCATCTTCCAAAGAAGATTGTATTTGATAGTGGCTTTTTCTCAGTTTGTTCATTGGAGTTTTTTTTCTTTGTTTATTTTTAAGCAGAACTTATGTGAACGAATGAGTGTGTGGAAAATTACATAGCTAACTTAAATCCATTCTGTTTTCTATGGCTGATAGTTCCAGCTGTTTTGTTGCAGATGCATTTTGCTTTGTTTGTGTGCTGTGTTCTGAAAACGATAGTCATGGTATTTTGTTCAGATCAATTAGCGAGCTTTGTTCGTTTTTGTTTTTTTATTTGCTTCTGATGTACACCATTAACTGAATGTTGCTTATTTTTCCTCACATTCATTGCATAGCTCATGTCCAGAAGGTTGTTGTTGTTGTTTGGTTTTTTTGCATTGCCTTCTACTGAGTAGAGTATTCATTTTTATGGTCTCAGCTAAGCTAGAAAACTGGACTTGAATCCAGGTTTGTGTTGGGATTCAATCCCACACTGCCCAAATCTCAAGTCCTCAATGACAAGCAGTTAGTTAGTTTAGTATAGACTAAGGGGTTCCCTTCCCCCATTTCTCCTGTATGACAGTTGGGAAATGTATCTTTTTCTTCTCTCTTCTCTCTTTTTGCTCTCATTCTGATTGGTTGTGTACAATACATACTTTTCTATTGCCAGCCTTTTCAAAATCTGACTTCAATTTTTCCTACATCAGAGTATGAGCTKTGTGCTTTGAGATCTCTCTCTGCTTATTAGGCTTGGTTGATCAAGRAAAAAATGGTTCTAAACTCATTTCGTATGTAGGAGGCGCTGGAGGTTCGATTYAAAAATTATTTAYGAAATTTTMTTTWAAAAAAAGATCRAAATTACCAGGAAATACRAATCGTTTCCTCTGTTTYGTTAATGGAAGGTGCCCTTCCCTCCCTCCAGAACCATTAAARTCTCGCAGTTTCCCTTCMTTCCCTTRYGGCAGRAGGGAGRGGTGGRYGTGGCCAAGYACAGCCCCCAGCRACCTCCRAGYGAGGAGYKCTGTGMTTGGCCACKCCCACYTCTCCCTTGGACAGCTTGCCAGGGAAGMGAAAGAAAGGTGAGAGATTTWAAAAGTGTTGGTTTTTAAATYTCTCACCTTTCTTTCTCCTYCCTGGCAAGCTGTCCAAGGGAGAGGTGGGCRTGGCCAAGSACAGCRCTCCTCGGAGGCCTCACCCCCAGCGACCTCYRAGCGAGGAGYGCTGTGMTTGGCCAYGSCCAYCTYYTTCCTCTTTGCATCRGYGGCTTTGYGAGGTGGSCRTGGCTACRYCCAGCTCTTCCGCATCGCCGCTTGTCGCCAGGGAGGTAGTCACGCCCACMTCGCAAAGCCGCCGATGCAAAGAGGAAGGAGGTGGGTGTGGGWAAGAACAGCTGTTCCTAAAGGCCACGACCCCTGYATTTACGATTCACTGGTGAAAGTCATARGAAAGATGGGGGCGCGGCTTCGATATGGCAAAAACACTTCCGGGTTGCCAAAATGCGTCAATATCGCTTCTAAAGGTATTAAAATAACGAATTAATAACAAATTAAGAAATTAACAAACTGGATCAGCCAAGCCAACTGCTTATGTGTCAGGCGAGATGTAGTGATTGGTATTTTCCCTTCTCTTTTAAACCTTCAAAGAGATGGGTGTTAGAGTAGCTCAGACCCAGTTCTTTCACTGTTAAGAAATGCAGTTATTGTTTATTATTGTAAATAAACTTTTTGTGATTTTTAAGATTGGTCTTCATCTTTGCCTGCCTAAGCTCTAAGTTCTTTACAGCACTTCACGCTCTGCATGCTGTGAGCTAATGCTCAGCTATTGTATCCTGTTTGATTTTTGGATGCTCTGCTATTTTTTAGGGTAGTTTTTCCCTAACAGTCCGTTCCATTGAAGACACTGGGGCAAAGGGGGTTAGATTCAGATGACAACTGGTTTGTTAATTTGGCTTTCTGTGGGCCCTTCCAGACAGGCCCTTTATCCCAGAATCTGATCCCAGGTTTTCTGCTTCAAACTGTCCACACTGCCAGATATGTCCACACTAGCAGATAACCTGGGATAAACAGAAAACCTGGGATCAGATCCTGGGATAGAGGGTCTGTTTGGATGGGCCCACAGAAAACCAAATTAACAAACCAGTTGTTATCTGAATCTAACCCCCTTTGCCCCAGTGTCTTCAATGGAACGAACTGTTAGGAAAAAACTACTCTAAAATATAGCAGAGCATCCAAAAATCAAACAGGATATAATAGTTGAGCATTAGCTCACAGCATGCAGAGCGTGAAGTGCTGTAAAGAACTGTATTGTAAGTGCTGTATTGCAAGTGCAGAGCAATGTCATGGTATTGTATATATTTTTATTAAAAGATTGTTGTTGCGCATCTTCAGTGTATCCCCCAGTTTCTGTAAATATACAAATGGCAATAAATAAAGCTATGTGTTATTCTGTATCTAATGCCATTGAGCGATTCTGAATTTTTATAGGTAATCCTGATATAAGGCTATGCTTTCCAGATTTATGAAGATGGGCTTTCAAGCAACAGTGACTATACCCTTTTCTTCCTCTGCTCTGCCCTTATGATAGCTTCAAAGACAGTTTGGAGAAAACATCTTCATCCTATTCAGACTGGCTAGTAAATAATAGCATTGCTGAACTCGTAGCCTCCACGGGCCTCCCAGTGAACATCAGTGATGCATATCAGGATCCTCGTTTTGATGCAGAAGTAAGACCTATGTAATTATACATCTCCGTATTCTTTTGAACCACAAAAATATAGAAACTTGGATTAAAGTTTTATGGCATACGTTGTGATCTTAGTCATGGTTATGAAGCATCCTGTTGGATGAATGCTGATTTTATCCACAGATAGTATGTGTGGCAATACATTAGCAGGCTAGAGTCACCTCCTGTATTAACTTTGCTCCATTGGGTTTAATCAGTGTCACAGCAGTGACTAAGAAATCTTCAACAAAAGTTACCTGGCTGAGACATATAAAAGTATGAAATATTGTAACCACTTCACTGCTTTTCAGTGCTCATAATCAAACACTTCTCATCCGATTCTTGAGTTAGAAGAAACTACCAGTCCAACCAATCCCACCACTTCCATGCATGAATATATCAGTAAACATTGTCAGATCACTACTGGCAATAATAATACATGTCACAACTGTTGATTTTCCCTGTAGTTCAAGTAACACCATTCTGTAAGTCTTAGCATTGTAGACTTGCTGTGAAATTTTCATTTGATAAAGCGATAAAGAGAACATATAGGAAGGTATTATACAGCATTATCAATGGATGCCTTCCAAACCACTACAATCGTTTTTTTCAATAGTCATATCTTCTATATACTTAATAAAAGTGGAAATATGTATGTGTTTGTGTGGCTGGGGAGTCCACTTACACAAACTCCTGCCTCCATAAACAGCTATATCTCTCATTACTCAGGAGACACCAAAGGTCCTCTCTCCAATGACATTGCAGGTTACAATGAGCACCATGAACACGTACAAGAGCTTTGCCAATGTCCCCCACAAACACAATAGTGAAGGCTTTCATACAGGGACAATTTCATCCCAGATTTTATGTGTTTCCTCCACCATAGACATCCCAGTGTTTCTCACTCTCTCCATTGGTGTGGAATTTGCATGATCCTGCCTACTGCCTCTCCCTTAATCTTTTCCTATTCTTTTCCATGGCACACAGCAAACAGAGGAATTGATTAACAACTGAACATACTAGAGAAGTTTGGGGAGAATTCACCATAATTTATAGGAGTTGTAGGTACTGGGATTTATAGTTCACCTGCAATCAATGAGCATACTGATCTCCCCCAAAAATGGAATTGGACCAAACTTGGCACACAGAGCCTCCATGAACAGCAAAAAGTACTTGAGGTCTTTGGAGAAAATTCACCTTGATTTTGGGGGTGTTGTAGTTCACCTACACCCAGAGAGCACTGTGAGTCCAAACACCCCAATGCATCTGGATCAAACTTGGCACACATACCTAATATATTTAAATTTGATTACTGGAGGTGTTTGCAGGGAAGTGACCTTCCTTTCTTGGAGTTGTAGTTCACCCAGAACCAGAAAAACTGTGAACTCCACCGATGATGGACCTGGACCAAACTTGGCACACAGAACCCCCATGACTAATTTTAACCTACTGAAGGTATTTGAGGGGACTGGCTCACCATAATGGGAGTTGTAGTTTACCCTACAGCCAGAGGTCATACCGAACCCCACCAATGATGCATCTAGAGCAAACTTGCCCAAACTTTAAGTACTGATGGAGTTTCTCAAGGTTAACCTGGCATGATGTGAGTTGTAGTTCACCCACAACCTTATGCATTTTGTACAATTAAAAAATTGAATGTTTCAAAAAACACGGGCAATGCCAGTTACCCAAGCTAGTTTGAAATAAACTCCCAATCTCAAATAGTGTTTGATGTTAGCATCAATTTATTCAGCCTTTCAAAAAGTGTAACTAATGCTTGAAGAATATTTATTGCATATATATATATATATATATATATATATATAGTACTAAAATCTGTTGTGTTCTTTTTGCATTCATAGCTGTATTTTTAATATGCTGTGTTTTGATTAATATGTAATGCAGCTAATTCAATTTTGGTTCATACTTTCTTAAAATACACATCAACAGAAAATGCTGGCCTGATTTATGAGGAGAAAGAATGATGTGGTGACGCAGAAGAGGCAATAATTAATTTTGAACTCAATTGTCATAGACATTTAATCTCCGGAGCCAAACTTCAGGAAGAATGGTTTTTGGAGACAGATGACTTTATTAATAAACAAATGCCATAATCTCTCATTAAAGTAGGGCAGAGCAGGAAAACGTGCAGCAGGATTTGTTGTCATATTTTACTTTTCCTTCTGCCTTTCTTCCTCCTTATTTAAATAGCGTCTATGGACAACGCTGGCTCTTTGGGGGGGGGGCATATTTAGAGGGGACACAGCGTAGGACCCTTCTAACAAATCTCAATCCTTGGATTGTTGAAAATGAGGAGACAGCCTGGCATGGATGAAAGCCTCTCCACTCCATTTATATGTCATCCGCAAAACTATGAATCCGGACTGGACCCATATGGACAGTCAGCATAAATCTATTAAAGTCAGGGACATTTCCTTTTGATAAGACATTCCCTTGCTGCGCATTGTACTAACTGAAGTTTATACAAATTGGATGAATATGAAGTTGTATACCATACCGATCACTAAAGTTCTTGTTCTTATGTTGTAGGCTGATCAAATTTCTGGTTTTCATATAAGATCTGTTCTTTGTGTCCCTATATGGAACAGCAGTCACCAGATTATTGGTAAGATGTCACTCATTAATGAATAAAAATTCTTTTGCTAATACAGAATTTTAGATTTTAAAAATGAGCCATATTATCTTTATAGCTTGTTAAAAACTTAACAATGACATTAGTATGCATTAATAACAGTATGCAACTGAGTTGTGATGCTCTTGTAGTTTTGAAAAATTATGGTTCAGTATTGTTACTAGCAATATACACAGTTGATTTGGGTATAAACATTCTGTAGAGGTACGTTTAAGAAAAGTAAGGAAACAATGTGTTACTATATCCATGATTTGGAAATCATATTAGCAGTGGTGCTGTTCGTATTTAAAATAGGATCCTAAAATAAATTTTAAAAATTGTGGGCAGAATTTTTTTTAAAAAAGGCCCATGTTTCCAGTCCATGTATATATTTCCAGTGTTTAAGGAAAGAAAGGAAAAATAGACAGATTAGAATAGAAAACACTATTTGAACATACATTTGTTATGGTGGCAATTCAATGTGTTACTGGTTTATCAGAAAGGGAGCAAAAAAAAAAAATCCAGGAAATCTCTTACAATCAACAAATTATTTCAGGAAATGCTTTCAATGGCTGTTAATTTGTTATTTACTTTGTATATATTGTTTATTGTGTTTTACTCATGCTGCCCCGAGTCCTTTTGGGGAGATGAGATAGAAATAAATATGATGGTGATGATGATGATGATTATGATGGTGGTTATATTTCTTCAAGTTCATATGTTTTATTAAATATGGCATTTTTTGATTTTTTTAATGTGCAAGTGCTTTGATTGTTTTACGTTTAAGATATGTATATGTAAGACAAATGTATGTATGTTGAATTTATGTAGGTATAAAATCAACCTTGTTTTTTAACTGTGTAAAGGTGTAGCTCAAGTACTGAATAGGCTGGATGGAAAACCTTTTGATGATGCCGATCAGCGACTTTTCGAGGTAAGAACTGTTATCTTACAAAACACATCAAGGACCTGAACTTAACAAAACACATTAYGGACACAGTAGGAGTGAAATACTATTAAAGCTACAAGTAAAGCTGATTATCAGACAGTAAGTTGTTTGGAACTKTCAGGACTTGCTTCTGACTAAACATTTCGCTCAGATTGATTTCTTTGGTTTTACCAAAATTCAAATACGTACTTGCTTATGAGCATTGAAATCCTGTGCACATTTACCTGAAAATAAGCAATTCAGACAAACATAATGGGATTTGTTTCTGAATAAAAAGGKCCAGATTTGGAATGCAACTTTCTCATTAAAATCAATGAGATTTTGCTTAACTATGTTGTAAGCAAGAAGACTCTTCRAGCCTGATTCTATATTCATTGTTGGATGYTATTCACAATTGATGGCTTCTATGTTGGGAGGAACAATGGTTCTCCACTGGATTTCATCAGATTAGAGCAGTGGTTCCCAACCTTTGGGCCTCCAGGTGATTTGGACTTCAACTCCCAGAAATCCCAGCCAGCTTACCAGCTGTTGGGAATTGTGGGAGCTGAAGTCCAAAACACCTGGAGGCCCAAAGGTTGGGAACCACTGGATTAGAGGGATTCAGGTTTGATGCACCCATTTGAATAACAGAGTTCAGCACTTGAATAACTCCATTAAAGTTCAGTTTATAACCTGTAGTGGAAGGTCCACTGTCACGTAATTCAGTTTGAACTGCATTACATCAATCTACACAGACCACACAATACAGTTTCAGACTGCATTATAAGTATAGATAGGGCCTGCGTTATTGTCCCAATGAAGAGGAAGCCACTGTCTTACCACTGTTGTTTACTCAGAAATAAATGCCAATGAATAACCAGAACTGACTGATGAGTAACTGAGCTTAGTATTGCAGTTTTATCATCTGTATTCATTATTGGCTAATTCTTGGCAAATTATTTGGCTTTTAGGTTATTATTAGTGGCAGAGATTTGAGGGGACCTTTGCTATTGTATTCTGCTTCATCATCTACAGCACTGATATCAGAGAGATGGTATGAATAGGATACCAAAACAAAAATGGCAGTTCTGAGCTGCAGCGGTGAGAGCTGGTCCATCTTTCAGAAAAAGCACTTTTATCAGTTGAAAAATAGGAGCCCCCAGTGGCGCAATGGGTTAAAACCTTGTGCCATCTGAACTGCTGACTGAAAGGTCGGCGGTTCGAATCCGGGGAGCAGGGTGAGCTCCCGTCTGTTAGTTCCAGCTTCTGTGGGGACATGAGAGAAGTCTCCCACAGAATGGTAAAACGTCAAACATCTGGGCGTCCGCTGGGCAACATTCTTGCAGACAGCCAATTCTCTCATACCAGAAGCGACTTACAGTTTCTCAAGTTGCCCCTGAAATGAAAAAAAAAGTTGAAAAATGGAATCCAAATAAAAATTAACACTATTAAATAGCTGTAACTTAATAGTTCCATCATCATTAACATACACTCTATAACATAGGTATCACTATTGTCCTTTTGTCCTTACATCTTATAGTCCTTATAAGACCTAAATGTAAATAGCTTGTAAAATTAGCTCCAGGCAGTCTTTTGATTTCTATTCAGAGATTTGATTAAGAACATTTTCTTTGGTCCTTCTCTTTTTGTCACTCCAATACTGACTTTTCTCCAGCATGTTTGACTAGTTGAGGGCAGAAAATGCCTCCCTGGGAATGAGGTGCTTTGAAACAGCAACGGTCTTAGCAACAGTTCTTAGTCACAGGAATTACTATGACTACTAGAGTGTCTGTACATGTGTGAATTGCCAGCACACGCGTCCCTTGCTATGTGATGTGGTTTTACACTTAGGCACTCTGATGTGTATTTTGGTCTCTATTTCAGATTATCCTCCAACTTTACTTATCCCAGTTTAAAGCCCTTAGCGTGTGTTGTTGTGTGCATTCGTGTTGTGTGTCATCTAAACATTGTTAGTCTCAGTTTAATCATTCTTCTTCCTCCATGCTTTTGCTTTGGATTATGAAAGAAAATGGGATGGTGTCACAGTGTGAAAGGACAAACATAACTGAGAATTAGGCATTCCCTCCATATTCCTTTCTGTGTTCCCACTGAATGCATTAGCAGCACTTCATCAGCGTTTTGGGGTACATCTGTATTGTAGAATTAATGCAGTTTGATACCACTCGAATTACCATGGCTTGATGATATGGACTCGTGGGAGTTGTAGTTTTGCAAGCTTTCCAGCCTTCTCTGCCAAAAAGTGCTGATAACTGACCAACCCAGAAATCTCAGGATTCCATAGCATTGAACCAAGGCAGTTAAAGTGGTGTCAAACTACATTAATTCTACAGTGTAGATGCACCCTTGGACTCATGGGAGTTTATTGGCATTTTTGCAATATGGATAGAATTCCAGAGACTGGGCCATGGCATTGTAGAGGTGTCAGGTTATGGGTCCAGGCTACATGAAAGCCTATATAGACTTACCTGGATGTTGAGGAGTTTCTTCCCTCAATTCTATCCCTGGCAAACACATCTAGTGGTAGCTGAAATAGGACTTTTTTGACTATTACTCCTAGGCTTTCATCCTCATTTCCTAGAGAGGTTAATCTGCACCCTACTTCTGTCACCAGGGAACACTTTTAAAATGACTTTTAATAGGTATTATGCTGTACTGCTTTTATCAACTTTTAAACTTTATAAGAAATTAAATGGGTTTTAAATTATTTTAAATGTTCTAAATAACTAAATTAAATTGTATTAGAAATATTTTGCATTTTTTGCCTTTGCTGCACCTGTTTTAATTTTGTAAACCACCTTAATTATCTATTTTGATGGGAGGAGCAAGATAATAATAAAGGGGATTGTGACTATTATGCCAAGCCTTAATGTTTATGAACTGTCTAAATCAGTGTTTCTCAACCTTCCTGAAACTGCGACCCCTTAATCCAGTTCCTCATGTTGTGGTGACCCCTAACCATAAAATTATTTGTGTTGCTACTTTATAACTAATTTGCTACTGTTATGAATTGCAATGTAAATATCTGATATGCAGGATGTATTCTCATTCACTGCACCAAATTTGGCACAAATACCCAATATGCCTAAATTGGAACACTGGTGGGTTTGTTGGGATTGATTTTGTCATTTGGGAGTTGTAGTTGTTGGGATTTATAGTTCACCTACAATCAAAGAGCATTTTGAATCCCACCAACGATAGAATTAGGTCAAACTTCCCACACAGAACCCCCATGACAAACAGAATAAATAAAAATACTGTATTTTCTTATGTTCTTTGGCAACCTCTTTGACACCCCCCTCATGACCCTGGTTTAAGGTTCGCAGAAATTCAAGCTTTTAAAGAACCCTTTAACAGGTGAACTAGAGATAGTTTCTAAAGATGTGGTATTACTGTATTAATTCTTTCATTATATTTTAGGCTTTTGTTATATTTTGTGGCTTGGGCATCAACAATACTATAATGTATGACCAAGTGAAGAAATCCTGGGCAAAGCAATCTGTTGCTCTTGATGTGAGTATCACAGTCTATTAAATGTTATTTGCGAAAGAGCTGAGATTATGTAACTAAAGATTCATTGCTCCTCTTTTTTTTTCCTAGAGGAGTAAAATGCTTGTTTTTCCTTATCAGTTTGTTGCTAGGTTTCCTGCCTTCTCCTCTCTCATTAACAAAGAGAAAGTTGGTTTCCCTCTGTTTCTATTTTTCTTTTGCTGTTAACCTTCTTAGTGGGCAGTGTCATTTGTAATTTCAGTGAGATGGCCCTGCAAACCTCTGCTTTGTCAGACCACTAGTTTAATAATATTAAAGCCAACTAATTTTGGAGAAAATTCTTTGATCATGAGTTGAATGATCACACTGTGTTTTCTCTTAAAACTGACTGGAACTTTGAGCCAATGGATCCATTGTAGTAAAAGGTTTCAAGATCCTGTGTGTATGCAGACTGTTGGAAATAGCAACCTTCTTCAAACCTCCACTAGTTATTTGTTATGTATATGATTCAGATCGCTTACTGTATTGTATATGTGTGTATTGGTGTGCAGTTTTCCTTAACTGTGTTGTGGGAGGGGCTCTAGACCATATGATCAGATCTGGGATTATTCAGGACTCAGACTCCATTTTAGAAACTGTATGCTTTCAGACACCAGTAGAAACAGTATAGTTTTGAAGCCATTCGACTTTCAATATAGAAACAGTATATCTTAGAAGTTTTTATAGCAGAAACTCCATTAGGCTCTCAGACCAGAGAGATGCTTTGGATTTTGGACTGTTGATTATGAGAAAGATGCCCTGTGTTACCTGCACAAACCATTTCAAATGTATTTGTAACTGAATTAATATGCAAAGTACCTGTATGCCAAATACATGAAGTTTGTGAATAAACCAACCATGTTATTTGAAAGAAGTCTACTTATTTTTGTCTCTTGAGAGCATGATTTAAGCCAAGATGTTTTAAGGGTGAGTAGATGTTTTTTGGGCAACTGAAAGAACACTTCTGAAACTCTGCTATATGTATGTTTTTGTGCATTGGCATATCTTTGCCCGTAACAGTTCAAAGAGATATCTAGGTATATCAGTTTAACTGGTGAGAAATTTAATTGCTTTGCATGAAGATGAGGGATATATTTACCACTAAGGAGAAGTTTGATTCAAGCGAGTTTTTAACTCTTTGTAGGAAGATTCTTGATTTTCCCAAATAGTGGCGAATACCATTTTCCAAAAGGTTATGGAGATTTTCATTTCCCAAAAGGTTATGGCATCATTTTTTCCAAAAGGTTATGGTTTCCATGCCTTTCCAAAAATCACAATTTCTCCTACCCAAACTCCTCTGTAATGTCACGGTTCAGTGTTTTTAAAACTCATGTGCACATAAAATAAAAGATTTCTTAAGTTTTAAAAAAATCACCCTTCAAAATAAAAATATCCCTTGGTTGCAGGATATTATTCTTTACATAAATGCTCAGACAGCTGTGTGAATGTTTATTATGGTACTGATGTCAGGCCATCCCAATTTAAAAGACAAGGATGGGACAACTGGGAGCCTATTAAAGTGCTAAACACTTGAGAGATTAATAAGAACTGATTCTTTTTAGAGCATTCTTTGAAAGGGAAGTGTCTTGTGTTTCTTTTTTCTCATTTCTGTTGTAAAGTGGAACTCATATATCTCAGACATGATAAAATCAATGAGTTTCAGAGGTTGACTGGATAGGTATCTGTGTTATAGTGATAGATTCTCCATACATAAGGAAAAGTCTCCTGCTTTATATGGTCTAACTTATCTCATTAGTCTGGATAGAGATAGTATTTTGATCCCCTGGGTTTATTTTCTGGAGGCATCAATATAAATTTTATTTATTTATATGCCACCCGAAGACACAGTTTTCCAGACAGCTTATAATAAAACAATAAGCAGCAAGGATAAGCGAGGCAATTTCAAGTAGATAATAAAATCAACATAACCTTCAGCTTCAATAAATACATTAGAAGGATTTTGCAAATGCCTGAGAAATAACAGCTCCTAATACTGAAAAGGCTTTGACTACCTTTCTGAGACTTTCTGGGAAAAGCATTGCATAGTCAGAATGGTGCCATCAAAAAGGCTCTTTATAAACATTCGTAGCCATCATGGCTCTACCTTGGATAGTAACAGGCTAAAAAGAGAAGCAGGCAGGATATCTAATTCTTTCCAATGACATGGAAACATCTAATTGACACTAATGTGATTAGCAAAAACATCCTTATAGTTATTTCTATAACAGAGTTTTATCTAGATTTGAGTAACAAAGTAGAGCTTATTTCTGTGGAGAGAACATAGGTTTGCACTGTTCTGGGCAGATCTAATTGTTAGTCCTAACTAATCTTGGTCCAGTTAATCCATGGAACATCTGTAAATTGAGTTACCAAATTCCCCCTGATTGAGTTGGACTATTCTAGTTCGAACTAATGGTTGGACAAGATTATGTTTTAATCAGTGGATAAACAACATTCCCCCGGTGGCAATGCGGGTTAAACCACTGAGCTGCTGAACAGAGAGTGGAGTGGGCTCCCACTGTTAGCCCCAGCTTCTGCCAACCTAGCCGTTTGAAAACATGCAAATATGAGTAGATCAATAGGTACCACTTCGGCGGGAAGGTAACAGCTCCATGCAGTCATGTCAGCCATATGACCTTGGAGGTGTCTATGGACAACGCCGACTCTTCGGCTTAGAAATGGAGATGAGCACCACCCCCCAGAGTCAGACCCAACTAGACTTAATGTCAAGGGAAACATGCAATTCTTTATCTGTCACTTTGAGAGTAGTTTTTGGTATGTTTAGTTCCTGAGATACCATATTTAATGGAAAGTCTTTACAGGTAGCAAACGATGAAAAAATATACTTATTTTCACTCATTTGGAAACTATATCTGAGAAAAGTCAGAATTATTAAGTTTTCTTCTCATTCAAGGAAACCCCTTAGAACAACAACTGTCTGCAACATATTATTTACTGCACGCATTTCCTATAATTTCATCATCTAGAATTGAGTGGGAGAATTTTCAGGTTGCCTCAAGTTCTCAAAAGTCATTTTCAAAAAGGAGGGTTAGACTTTTGGGTTGCACTTTCCCACCCCGGCCTAGGAGGTAAGTGCTCCAAATATGAGTCACAATCTATAGTTAGCTATAATATTTCATATGCAATGTGTGATGCAAATTATTAATTAACCTTTTTAATAATTTCCTCAGTAACTATGTAATTTTATCTTCTTATTTGTGACAATTTTGTTCTTGTGCAGGTGCTGTCTTACCATGCAACGTGCTCAAAGACAGAAGTTGATAAATTCAAGGTAATAACAATGTTTAATTATATTCTGAATGTAATTATTCAAAGTATCTTTGTGGAAAGAGTTATTGTCCTGTGGCACAGAAATCTGTTATTTGAATAATTGTAACTTTTTTTTGCCAATATGTAACCTATATGAAACCAATTTTTTTTGATCAACCAAGCCTAGTTTCTATCCCAGTTTTTAAGTGCAGTATGACCCCCATATCAGTGTGGGATAGGCTCCAGGCCTTCCCTCACCCATGGATACTGGAAAATGTAGATAATAGTGAAGCCTATATTTTGCCTATACAGACAAAATAGGTTCTGTAGGTTGTATTTGTATGCATGTCGGAACAGGTACATTTTTTTAAATGTAACTCCAGCCAAAAATTATGTATATATTAGCTTTGGATGTATTTATTTATTAGCTTTGGATGGGGAAGTGTTAACACACCTGTGGGGTTTGTTTTGCTGTCGATGCCCCTGTTCAGAAGGGGTAGATTACTGATGATGTCAGACAACAGGATGTGAGAGAAATTTACCACTTGGAAGGGACATTCACTCCTGGAAGAGTTATTATGAGGAAAATGTGCCTCAATCGAAGCTTTATCACCAACCTTTGTTTCCGCACCAAGCCAATTTTTCCAAAATCCAAGTCCTTTTTAGCAGCAGAAGCAAATTATCACAGGGACAGAAAGTGAGGTGAAATCTTTGTGGATAATACATGATGCAGCAGATGGTTCATTGCAGAGAAGCATCCCAGATCTTTCCTTGATGTGGTCCAGCATAGCCACGTAGCCAAATGTAGAACTTGCCCCCCAAACAAATTCTACACAGACTATGCTTTGGCCTTGATTGGGATGCGCTACCCCCAGACTGTGAAATCAAAGATCGCTTTCCAGGATTTGATAGTGTGGAAACAAACAAACAAAATCAAAGAGCAAATCTGTGGTCCATCTCCCTCTTTCCCCTTTAACCAGCTAGGAGAAACATTCAAGCTGGTTGGCAACTCAGAAAAAATAAAACCACTCCCCCAGTTTGTTCTCCCAGCCTTGAACTCCAAAGTGAATACAGAAAATATCAATACAAATGGACTCTTTCATGCCACTGTGGAGGTTGCTATTCTCTGTCAAGGGCAGAAACTGATGTAGCTGCCAGCAACTCTTGTCTAGGAATATAATGCCCATTAAGCATCCATTCCCTTCGGAAATGTCTCTAGGGTGATAATGGTGTTTTGCACCCTTTATCACCATCAAACAGTTGTTCCAGGAAAGCAGTGAGACAAATCCGACATCATAAAAAAACATAAATCTTAGTTTTGCTTTAATGTGATGTTGGAATACTCCAAATTCTTCAATTTGATTATTCACACTAGACCAAATTGTTAACTGTGATATATCAGTGGACAAACAATAGTAGTGGATGATCCTTTGCACACTAAACCCAGACACTCAAGTGTCAAATCAACTTAATTAAAAAAAAAAGACTAGTTGCTTTAAACTAGGGGTCCCCAAACTAAGTCTCACAGGCCGAATGAAGACCTCCAAGGTCATTTAATTGCCCCCCACCCTAAATGATTTGAAGGCACACAACAACAACAATCCTAAGTGACTTGACTATTTCATCCATCAAAAGCAGACCCACACTTCTCATTGAAATACTGGTAAGTTTATGTTGGTTAAAATTGTTCTTCATGTTAAATATTGTATTGTTCTTTCATTTTTTTGCACTACAAATAAGATATGTGCTGTGTGCATAGGAATTCATTCATTTTTTTTAAACCCTAAAGTTTGCCCCCCCACCCCCGACAGATCACAACCAGACACAGTGAATACATCTGCCCTTGCACTTTGCTACTCTGCTGCTGAATACGCATGCCCAGTGTGGAACACATCTCACTACGCTAAAACAGTGAGACATGCTGCATTATCACAGGATGTCTATGCCCTACACCACTGGAGAAATTATACTGTTTAGCCGGTATTGCACTACCTGACATCCATTAGGAAGTAGCAGCCTGTAATGAAGGCACCAAAATAGTGACATCTCTGTCCCATGCTCTGGTCGGATATCAGCCAGCCTTAAATCAACATCTACAGAGATACTTGCAGCTAGCGAGACTCCAAAAGTGGCAGGATAAAACCCGGAACCTCAATCAGTGGTTGAGAAGGGATGAGAAGCTTCCTCCTGGGCACACAGAAGACTGGGCAACTTGGAAGATGCTGAACAGTCTGCACTCTGGCACCATAAGATGCAGAGCGAATCTTAAGAAATGGGGCTGCAAAGTGGAGTCCGCAATACGCGAGTGTGGAGAAGAGCAAACCACAGACCACCTATAACTATACAGTCTGAGCCCTGCCACATGCACAATGGAGGACTTCCTTACAGCCATACCAGAGGCACTCGGAAGTGGCCAGCTACTGGTCAAAGGACATTATTTATTTATTTATTTATTTATTTTTTATTTACCTTACTTATATACCGCTGTTCTCAGCCCGAAGGCGACTCACAGCGGTTCACAACAAATAAGAACAGCAAAAATTCAATGCTACAGTATAAAAAACAGTTAATAACCTAACACATTACATAATTAATAACAATTACTACAATAACCATTCATTATCGTCTCATCATCAAAAACATGATCCAGATTCGTCATCCATTGTTCCATTCCAGTGTTCATTCACCAATCATTGCACTAATTATTTGAATGCCTGCTCAAACAGCCAGGTCTTCACTTTTTTGCGGAATACCATTAGAGATAGTGCTAGTCTAATGTCCGTAGGAAGGCCACCACCGAGAAGGCCCTATCTCTCGTCCCCGCCAGCCATGCTTGAGAAGCAGGCGGGATCGAGAGCAGGACCTCCCCGGAAGATCTCAAAGTCCTGGTGGGTTCATAGGCAGAGATGCGGTTGGATAGGTAGCTTGGGCCGGAACCGTTTAGGGCTTTAAAGGCCAACGCCAGCACTTTGAATTCAGAACCCGGTAGCAAATCGGTAGCCAGTGGAGTTGGCGCAACAGGGGGGTTGTATGCTCCCTGCGCTCCGCTCCTGTTAAAATCATGGCTGCCGAGCGTTGGACTAGTTGGAGCTTCCGAGCCGTCTTCAAAGGCAACCCCACGTAGAGAGCGTTGCAGTAGTCTAAACGGGATGTAACCAGAGCGTGGACTACCGTGGCCAAGTCAGACTTCCCAGCTGGCGCACAAGCTTTAGCTGTGCAAATGCTCCCCTGGTCACCGCCGAAACCTGGGGTTCCAGGCTCAGCAATGAGTCCAGGATCACATCCAAGCTGCGAATCTGCATCTTCAGGGGGAGTGCGACCCCATCCAACACAGGCTGTAACCCTATGCCCTGTTCGGCCTTGCGACTGACCAGGAGTACCTCTGTCTTGTCTGGATTCAATTTCAATTTGTTCGCCCTCATCCAGACCGTCACAGCGGCCAAGCACCGGTTCAGGACCTGGACAGCCTCCTTAGTAGCAGGTGGAAAGGAGTGACAGAGTTGGACATCATCCGCGTACAGATGACACCGTACCCCGAAACTCCGGATGATCTCCCCCAGCAGCTTCATGTAGATGTTAAACAACATGGGAGACAATATTGAGCCCTGAGGAACCCCACAAGACAAAGGTTGTGGGGTTGAACAGGTGTCTCCCAGTAACACCTTCTGCCACCTTCATTTAGTACAGTATAATGCCAAGTTTTAACTTTGTTTGTGGTTTTTCTATATATTATAACTGTATTCTCGCTTCTGACACAATAAATAAATACTCATGTGACTCGAAAGTCTCTAACCAGGAACTAGAAAACAGTAGGTTAGGGGTGTGTGAATCTGTTCCGTTTTCATTCTGTTTTCATTTTGAATTTCGGTTGCTCCTTGTTCTGTTTTTGGGACGATTTCGATATCATTTGGATTCGTAATTCAGAACCCTGAGTTCTATTTCCATTTCAGGAAGAATCTTCCCAAAAACAGAATAGTGGCAGGGGAGAGGACCCAAAAACAGAACAAATTCTGTGCCATTTTGCACACCCCTAGTAAATATGCAGGACAGTTTTGCAAGAGAGCATTGGTGTATCACTGATCAAAATTTAGTGCCAGAAGTAGTCAAGTGAAAAGGCTTTTAAATTGTGATGGTGGGGAATCCCACAAGTGCCACCTTAAATTTGAACGTTTGCCCTTTCCAAGGAGAGTCTGTTTACAGTTCTCTTGTGATGTGTAATTTACGATAAGCTTTTTTTTTTTTTTTAAAAAAGCCAGAAACTTAATTGTTCAGCTGCGAATACTATGTGCAAGATCAATATTTAATGGATGTTTTGCATTATTTATATTTTTATGAGATATTCCTCTTTGTGGCACAAACAACACTCAAGAGAAATCTCATTATACAATAGAATGAATCACTTTTTATGAATCTTTGGCTTAAAGTGTAATATTAATATTTCTGTTCAGGTACTTTGACTGCTTACCTTTGCTAGGTAGCGATCTTAAACAGAGATATCAGCAATCAACATTGCAGGATTTCTTTTCTTTTTGCTTTCTTTCTTACTCTTAAAATGTACTTCAGTTAACAGAATTAATGAGCTGAATACATTAAACCATGAATATGCAAAAACTCTATGCAGAATCCATTAAATTGATGTGTAGGAATGCATGCTCTCTTGTTGTGAATGTATGAATATTACTGTAGTAATTAGTAGGTTGGATCTAGGGGTGGCATACTGGGGAAAACATTCTGGAAATGCCTCTTTTACAAAATGTGCAAAAGGTTGTGCAACACTGTCCATTAATAGGAATCTTGACATTTTGTACAACTCCTTGCAAAAATCCCCTTTCCCTTATTCCTTCTGGTCCAAAACTCTGAGCAGTGACACCTAGGTAGGGAGAGACCTTTTCTCCCTCCCTACCATTTTTATCTCCTGTAAATCTAAATAAGACTTTAATCTGAAAGAGAGTTTCTATTTTGTAAGCAAACTTCTGGATGTAAACCATTATGTATAAGTTAAGCATTATGAATGTGATATAT